CTGAGTCGAGTATGGGACAAAACGGCTAACCCTATTCTGCAAATCTACTGTTCAAGAGGCAATACAAACAAGATATCAACCATGGCTGGACATCTAAAGTGCTTCCGCTTCCGCTACTACGTGTTAAGTTTCTCATAGATTATTCTCTGTATAGTTAGATCATGTTTAGATCTCACAAATCATTCACTCAACCTTTCAAAAATTAAGTTCATAGCAATAACACGTACACCAGCAAATGCACACTCGACAACTTCAATTTTGCATCCCAAAAATGAGTTATCATATCTACAGCACCCCATGGGTTCATTTATTTGACGACATCCTTTCCAAACTTCAGTAGATCTATAAGGCTTTTGCTTGATAAGAGCATAATTGCAAATTGGACATGGTTCAAGTTGTGCCATGTCCTTAAAAAATGAAAAGAAAAGAAAAAAAAAAAAAACATTGAAACACAAACATTGTTATCAGTGGGGAAGAATCATCACCAGTGTTGCATTGATATCTAGTATCTACACCAGTGTTGCATTACGATTTGCTGCGGGTCTAGGAGGAATCTTTGTTCCACTTTTGATGTCCAACAAATGGAGATCATATTATAACAAGAAGATTGATGGGATTATTTCAAAGGTTTTCTTTTAGAAACGTCAAGGGAGAAGAAAGAACTATCGTTAACAAAATGAATCAAGTGCATGTCATCCTCTAATAATGGATGGATCTTAGAGTATCCCCATTCAGGGGATTGTTCACGGTTTTTAAGAAGTAAATGCCAACATGGAAGAAAGAGAATGAAGAGAGAGAAGATTCAAGTGCCTCCTGCTAATTTGGACTTTTTCAGAAAGAGTGGAACCCACTGACTTTAACACCAGTCCCGCGCTACTCGAGTGAAGGCCACAATGGTGCCCACTAGGCGCGTTAATGACAATGTTTAACCTTTTTTTATTTTTTTTTTTTTTTTTTGTTTTTTGTTTGTTTGTTTTTTTTTTTTTTTTTTTTTTTTGGAAATCAGCATTATTTTTTTTTCTTTTTCTCTCTTTTTTACCATCTTCTCTTTCCTAATCACACTTACAAAAACTTATCAAAAACCCCACTATTGAGGATGGCCCCTGTGATTTTTGAAAGGTTTTTGCTGGTCTGATTATGAAAGAGAAAATGGGAGGAAAGAGAAAATGGACAAATAAAAAGCAAAACAATATATGGAAATGGAAATTAAAAAAAAAAAAAAAAAAACATGCATGTTTACGTGCACTCTGGGCGCTTGTTTTGCAGCCCATGCGAAGCAAGCTAGCAGAGGCATGTTTAATTTCAGTGGGTCTCACATTTATGATAAAAGTCAGGATGACCTCATTTTTTTGTCTTTCCTCTCATTCTCTCCTCCACCTAAGCAAAATCATTCTAAAAAATCGTGAAAAACCAACTAATGGGAATGCTCGGCATCTGACAAACTACAACTAGTCTTGTCTTGTCTAAATATTATTTATTTTATTCTCATTCTAGTTCTATAAATACACATACCAGCCCTAAGATTGGAGCACTCTAGTTTTAGTACCAGTGTACCACACAAGTTTTATTAGTCCCAAAGCTAAACATGGTAGCGTGTCGCTCTAGTACCATGCAAGCTAATAGCACTCATCTTAATTGTCCTCAACTGTTACATTTGGTTTCAAAGCCCTAAGTGCTAAATTTCAATGGCGAGCCCAAAACATCTCAAACCGATGGATAGACTAATAGATTCAACAAATGCTTGGAAACTTATCATAGATGTAAGACATTTCAAAAGTCAAAACAATGGATATGACAAGTCACTCAGTTGCAAGCACTTGGTTGAATATTTAGACTTGATACTCGAAATACATGAACTTGAACACTTTAAAAATACTTGAATAGGTTCTTTAGGCTTCTAGCTTTAATTTCTTTGGAGAATATCTTCTTCTTTGTTGTCCTTTCACTTGAAATGAAAATCACTATTTATAATAAATAAAATATCATCATACCTTGCATTCGAATATTTGAATTAACAAAATATTTGAACCCTTTAACTTAATCAAAATATAAAAATATATTTGACTAAGTTATATTATATATTATATCGTGTACCGAGCTTCAAAACGTTGTCGTTTTGTTTAATGAAAAGAAACCGCAACCGTTTCGTGCCATTTCGCGCCGTTCCGCAAAAAGTAACTTTGTTATTCAGCTTCATTTTGTATACACTGCAGTTTTATCTCAACACAACTACAGTTTCATTTCGATATAACTACAGTTTCATTCATCATTTATACACTCAAATATGTGAAAATGTTATTTAATTTTATTTTATATACACTATAGTTTCATTAAAACACAACTTCATGATCATTTGGATATAACTACAACTTCATTGCACAATTTACACTCCAATATGTAATATGATATTCAGTTTCATTTTATATACACTGCAGTTTCATTTCACCACAACTACAGTATCATTTTGATATAACTGTAGTTTCATATGAAAAAGGACTCATGTGTTTGTTTAGCCGAGAGGAAGAAGAAAACAACTTATGTCTAATGGCCAATAATGATGAGGTAAATTCTAAACCCTCCTCATCTACTCAAATAGAATCTAGCTCGGAAAGGAAAATAGATCAAAGCTTCATTCAAGTTTAAATCTATAGATACAAACTCTCGACCATTAAGTCTTTTTTCATATGGATCTATTTGGACCATTTGATCCTGTCAGTCTAAGTGGACGAAAGTACACTCTCGTTGTAGTGGATGACTACACAAGATACACTTGGACATTGTTTCTAAAGAAGAAGAATGAAACTGTGAAGATGTTACCAGAACTTCTAAGATAGCTTCAAACAGAAAAGGAAGTTAGCAACATACGAATCATATCAAATCAAGGCACAGAGTTCGTGAACAAAGTAATCAAAGATTTCTGCAAACAAAATGGCATTTGCCATCAACTATCGGTTGCACGAACACATCAACAAAATGGAGTTGACGAAAGGAGGAACAGAACTCTCAAAGAAGCAGCACGAACAATGATAGCCCACTCTGAACTATCTAAACGCTTCTAGGTTGAAGCAATCAACACAGCTTGCTGCACTCAAAATCGATCACTCATCAATAAAACTCATGGACTTACTCCCTACAAGTTATGGAAAGGTAAGAAACCTATAGTTAGCTATTTTCATGTCTTTGGTTGCAGGTGCTTTGTTCATAACAACTGGAAGAATCATCTAAAAGCCTTCGACGAAAGAGCTAATGAACGATTGTTCATGGGTTACTCATCGGTTAGCAAAGCCTTCAGAATTCGGAACAGAAGAACCATGCTTATAGAAGAATCCGTCCATGTCAAATTCGATGAAAGAGCTGAAAAGACTCCACTTATTGATGAAGTAATCAATGTAAGAAATTTGAGCATACAAGCTGAATCAAGCGATGAGGAAGAAGAAAACTCGGATTAAATATAAGCAAAGCATAAACCCTAAACATAAGAAAAGCCTAATTTCTTGAAAAAAAAAAAAGGACTAGTGACAATTAAGCAAGGCATTAATTAATTAATTAAACATTAAAACTAGACACTCTCTAATCTTTAATCATTAATCAAGTATTTAAGAAAAAATAAAACAGAACACATAATTAGCAGCATAAATTATGTATATCATTACCTTGTATAATTAGTATAATTAAACATTAAAACTAGACAATCTCTAATTTTCACGGACGAGCCAAACACCAATCCGCATTTGAGTTCGGATTGGAATTATGATTCAAGTGAAGTAAGCCTATTTCTTTTTATTTATTTATTTATTTTGAATTTTTATTTTGATCTTTATTTTAATTTATAGCTTTCAAAGCATTAGTTCTAGTGGTTGACTCGCTTATTTGAAATCCTTTCCTTTTAAAGGGTAAGGAAGATAAAATACGTGCTTGTTTTATCGCAAGAGTAATTAATCGTTGTTGTTTTGATAATAATTTGCTCATGTTTCTATAATCAATTCGATTCGCCTGGAGTAAGGTTACTTTTTTTCCTTTTGGGCGGGGGGGGGGGGGGGGGGGGAGGGATTGAACCCGACGTGAATCAAACACACAACCTTCTGATCTGGAGTCAGACGCGCTACCATTGCGCCACGGATCCACTGTTGAACAACTTTAACTTACTCCTTTGTACACTTGTTTTCTTTCTTCAGAATTAATCTCACATTTAGTTGCAAGATTACAATTGACATATTCCTTTTAATTAATTAACAAACAGAATAAATATGATGAAATTAATAATTAATAATTAATGACTATGGTAATTAATCATATGATTAAAAGTAAAATTTAGTTTTCATGTTAGACATTGTCTTGATCTAAGACGAAATAGGAAGCTTCTTCTCCATGTTGATATCTACATCAGTGTTGCATTAGGATTAGGATTTGTTGCGGGTCTAGGAGGAATCATTGTGCCCGGACACGTTGAGCAACAAGGTGAAACTATGTTTCTTAGACTACATTAGAGATTTGACAACAAATTCGAATTTTTTTTTTAGACTGCCATGGCTGTCTGGTGACGGACCCGGACTAACACACTCAACTTCTTTGGCGAGACTTTTTCCTAAGGGGCCAATTTGACACTTTTTCCTAAATTGAAAAAGCTAAATAAAAAACTCATATAAAAGAATTAACTTTGAATTTGATCAAATTTAAAACCAATTCCGCACTTAATCTTGTAGTCCATGATTCAGGCAAAGCATTTTTTTTTAATCCTTGGTTAAACACGATCGGTTACACAAAAAAATTTAAAAATGCTTGGCAGTTAAAAGGTATATAGACTAAAGAAATTATATAAGAAAATTACAAGAAAATAGTAAATATAAATATAGAATAAAATTAAGTACAACTAGGAAAAACTATCCAGCATAAGTCTTTTACTCAAGAAGATTTGTGGAAAAGAAGTGTAGCTTACTATCAAGTCACATTCTTAATCTCGAAGTAAAGTATTCATTGACATAGATGTTGAGCTGTGAAGATCAACCCTGAAGCTTTATATATATATCACCACCCCAACTCGATCAGTAATTCATATAGCAATCAAGGTTACATCTACAACATAACAATGTTCACTTTTCTATCAATCCCTTAAATAAGTTTAGATAATCAAGGATTAAAACATGAAGGTCTAGAAAGAACATTTTCCTCGTCAACATTAGGGGAATCAGTACCATCAGCAACAAGAATTTCATTAACCTATGGGGTTGGTAGCTGCATTTGAAGTGTTGATGCCAAACCATTATCTGAATATCACATCTAGAGAATACCAAAAGATCAAACAAAACAAAGAGAACAATTACCTTACTTGAAAGTTGATCTTATCAGAAACACTAAGAATTATGGCCATTGCAGAATCTTATGAAAACAGACATTACACAAACAAAATTACCATTCGATAACTCATGAAAAATGTAGCATGAAAGATTCCAACACTTGAAGTGATTCACAAGTTTCTATAGGAATGAATACCAAGAGATCAGATAGGTAAAAAGCAGCATATATATACTTACCATGATGACTGTCTGAACTACCATGTTTTGGTGATGAATTAGATGCTAACTCTTGATTTGGTGATGAATTGGATTCTGAAACTCTAAATGTCAATTAAAATCTGAAATACAAAGAAAAAGAAAAACAAAATTGAAAGAAACCACTGACCTGGTTTCATTCTTGGATCTTTGAATGGAAAAACGGGTAAACCCATCAGGGAAACCACTCTGCTTTTGCATATAAGGCTGATATAGGATGAACCATAATGGTACTACTGAACCATAATACTAACAAAATGGGGCAAAAGAAATAAGATGATTACTTTATGGATCATTTATAGCAAGATAAAACTCACATCAGATCCACATTGAGTCGAATCCGGAACACAAAAACTGAACTAAGAATTCAATTTTACCAAAAACTGAAAAAAAAAAATCGGAATACCAAAGAGAGTGAGAAGGTAAATTAATAACTACCATATGCATTGTTTGATGTTGCAGCAGCAGGAGAAACGAGATAGAATCAATTTATGTGTCAATAATCTGCAAATTATTGAAAAAGAGTATAGCTAGGCCAACAAAACAAGATATAATGAGAATAAGAAGAAAGCGTTTATATAGATACCTTCAATACAAGCAGCAGCTTAGAGGCATCCCTCCTAATTAGTCCTAATTCCATGGATTGGGGAGCTGGGCATCTCTAAATGCTGGTGTACCGCCTGATGCAGCTGGAGAGGGAGGGGAGGCAACATAATTTGTCCCTGATGTGGAAACTGCGGGTGGATTTGAAGGGAGTCCTTGTTGCACAGTGCATGCAAAACGTGATGGGCTACCTGTTACCCCCATAGTAGTTCGTGAAGAGAATGGGACCTGTTCCAAAGAAGACCATTGAATGGAGATAAATAACTGTTGTCTATCAGACCAGTCAAGTGCATCACACTAATTAACTAACAGTTTGAGGTCACATTAAGAAAAGAAAAATGTTGAGCAACTGACTCTGAGAATGTAATAAGAAAAATCAAATGCCTCCAAAAATGAAACCTAGCAACAATATCAGGAAAGTCTAAAAGCAAGAATTCATAATGCCTCCATGTTGAAGATGAGTAAATTTGAATATCCTCCATCCACCACCCCCCCCCCCCCCTTCCCCCTTTTTCTTTGTCTCTTTGATGCAAAAACTCAGATCTTGATATGTAAACAAAATTCATATATGCATTGTCCTTTTGCACTTTCAACCATGAATATTTTGAAATAATCCTCACAGATTGTAATGACCAATTAATCCCCTATTTCATGCTTAGTGCTTGAAGACAAGAAAAGTGAACAGTTAAGTCTTCTTTTAAAAGTGGACTTACTGTATTATGCACAGGTTTCCTATGTTCAGAGTCTGGAGTTGGTGATGTGCTGTTCATACGAAGCAAGTTGCGGGAATGCACATTCTGGTTGGAAACATCATCACCTACGCCTCCTTCAACTTCAGTGCTGAGTCCATCTGACCCAATTCTAGGTGTGTTAAGTCTAAAACATATTCATCATCTACATATTCCTAAAGTATAAACTACAAACACATCTTAACTGTTAAAAGTAAAATCCACTATAGAACATATTCATCATCTACATTTTTATAGCATATATATAATCCTCATCTTTTTATAGCAAAATGTATGTATCAATACAAGTAGAAAGTCATACGTACTGTTTTCCGGATTCTCTATCGTAGATAGCCTGCCTGAATGCTTGATAGATCTGAAGCTAAGAAGATACTTTCCCCAATTAGAAGTGAAGGCTAATGCCCTAATTATTTTGAATCAGAGAGTTCTTTTATATCTCCCTGATTATATTAAAAATAACTAAAAATTATATATTATAAATAAAGAACCCTAACAATAGATTAAGAAATAAAGAACCCTAACCATTATGTCGTCGATCAAGGAGGAGAAGGCGCTGTCGATCGAGGAGAAGAGCAAGGGAGGAGAAGGCGTATCCTTCGAGGAAAAGAAATGGAGAGGAGAAGGTTGAAATATGCGATTGAGGAGAACAGGTAAGGAGGAGAAGGTTGAAATCTGCGATTGAGGAGAAAAGGTGACGAAAAGGTTTAGGGGTTGTTTACTAACTTGGAGAAATGGAGAATTTTCTAAAAAAAATGGAGAAATTGAGAAGTGGAAAAATGGAAAATGGAAAACTTGTTTACTAAAATCATCCTTCCAATTGTCCAACTCTTCTCCATTTTTCAAGTCTATGTATAATTTTGGAGAGATCCAATTTGGACTTCTCCAAATAGAGAAATGGGAGAAGATGCACGTGAACAGTGCTTATGGTTGGAGGGCGAGTGTTTGATTCCTGCAACATGCATTACTGAGTGGTTGTGTTTGTTCATTTCTGTTCCTTCTTTTTCCTTTCTGTTCCTTCTTTTTCTTTTGTTTCCGTTTAACTTATTATTATTATTATTATTATTATTATTATTATTATTATTATTATTATTATTATTATTATTATCTTTTTTTTTTCTATTTTCATTTTTCCTCCTCTTTATGCACACAAATTTGTTATTATTATTATTATTATTATTATTATTATTATTATTATTAATATTATTATTATTATCCTTTTTTTTTCTATTTTCATTTTTCCTCCTCTTTATGCACACAAATTTGTTATTATTATTAAATTATTGTTATTATTATTACTATGGCTCCTCTGGAGGGAATGCCACTTTGAATGAACTCATGAAATTTGACTAATATTTTATTTTATTTTAAGCATATGTATATATCATAATGGCATAATTGCGATGAATGTGGTTCATATTTTCAATGAGCATGGAAGACAATCATAATAATATACTAGGCTAATTAAAAGAGCACATTTACATTTGAGCGCATAATATAGGCTACTAACTTCTGTACAGAAATGAACGCCCCAGAGGGGGGGGGGGGGGGCATTTGATTCATGCTATATTATTATTATTATTATTATTATTATTATTATTATTATTATTATTATTATTATTATTATTATTATTATCTTTGTTGTAGAAATGTACAAATTCTATATAGAATGATTGTATTTAACAAAATAGAAAATCTGAGAAATGAAAAATTGGAAGAATGGAGAAATGGAAAACTGGAGAAATGGAGAAGGTTTAAATCGTCCTGCGATCTAGGGCAGCTGCGCAAGAGTTAGAGAAATATATATAATGGATTTTTTTTTTCAGAAGAGTATATAATGGATATTTATATACTGGCCAGCTGCGCAAAAGGGATGTTTTTTAGGCCTGTTTGCGATTTGGGAAAAAAAAAAAAAAAAAAAAAAAAAAAAAAAAAACTTCCGACCAATGTTTGGTGGTGGAAAAATGATATTAATTTAAAAATTTAGCGAATAATTTAAAAATGTAGCGAATTTTTTCGGCCATGTCGAAATTACCGACCACTTAATAAAAGTGGTCGGAAATTCCGACCACTTTCCGACTACCATAACACTTACGGAAAAACGGAAAGAAGTCAATTTTTGCGATCAAATTTTTAGGTGGTCGAAAAAATGATAATTTCCAGCAGTGCAGGGTGATGTGACCATAAATTGAAATTAAACCTACTATTGGTTGTTGAAAAAAGTGTAATCTACTATTAAGTTACAATCTTAATCTCGAAATAAAATATTCATTATTGCATATTGACTGTATAGGAACTTTGACGAAAAGTATGATAGTAACCAAACCCACAATTGAAGAAGAATGAGGAAACGCCAATTAAACAAGCATTATCCATGGTCACATCACCCTGCACATGCTTCAATACAAGAAGGCAAGAACAACACTACCCAACCGTAGTCATACACTACTGGAAATTATGGAATTTCCGACCACCTGAAAGTGATCTAAAATCATGTTAATGCCAAAAAAGTGGTCGGAAATAGCAACAAAGGTTTTTCCGGATACCAAAAGTGGTCGGAACAAGGCTTTCGACTTGATTTAAGATGACTTTCAGGTGGTCGGAAATTTCATAATTTCCAGTATTGTCATTGGCACTTTGCCAATCTCTAATGTAGTCAAAGAAATGTTGTCTTACATTGTTGTTCGACGTGTTAGAGAATAACACTCCACTCACCAAGTAATTGCATGATACACAACTGAGTCATGCACTCTATGTCTTTACCATTTGAATGCTATGTCAGTGGTCGCGAATTTTGTAGACATGCAATTACTAGGTGCAATGTTATCATAACCCAAGATAGGTCCCACTCTGTGAGCAGCCCTTTCACTTCTGACTTCATTTTCATCAGATAGACCCAAACTGCTCTGCTATGGTCATCAAGTATGGTGAGAAAATAGTGGTGTCCATGAATGGTATCCACTTTGTAAGGGCCCCATATATCCACATGCAACAAGTCAAAACAATTAGTAGACATAGAAGTAGTAGGTCGAAAAGGAAGCCTTCTCTGTTTAGCAAAGTGACAACTGTCACATATAAACTCTTTATTCAACTGAATTGTGGGTTCCAAAGATTTCAAACACTGTACCTTTGAATATGAGGCATGCCCTAATCTGGCATGCCACAAAGTACATTTGTTGGCTATTGAAACAGAAATGCATACAGAGGGAAAATTAACAGGAAAAACTAAGTGATATAGACCATTGTGTAGCTCAGCCCTTCCAATCACTTTGCCATGGATAGCATCCTGTATAATACATTCATTAGTATGTATTTTCATGGTGTAACTAGAATTCTCAATGAATGCCCCTACTGACATTAGATTATAGTGAAAACCAGGCACATAGAACACATTATTTAGTGCAAAATCAGCAGATAAATGGACTGAGCAAATGAAATAAATAGCAACTTACTGACCATTTGGTAAACTAACATGTAAGTTATGCACCCTTCTCTGATTGTTCAACAGCTTTAAGTCACGAACAATGTGGTGAGTGGCACCACTGTCCACAATCCAATCATTCTTGTCAGATTTTACAAAATTGAGGGAAGGAGTCATACCTTCATTCTGAAAATCAGTGGATATGGTGTTGACAAGGGCTTGTGGGGGCTGATCAAGGGGAGAGTTCATACCTTCACTGGATGGTTTCTGCATAAACTCTAGGAATCTTCTGAAGTCATCTTGAGTAAATGACACTCCACTAGAGTTAGACTGTTGTAAGCCAAATGGTCCTTGTGCCTGATTTGCAAACCCTTGGCTCCTTGATTTTGGTTTCCACCCTGGTGGATAACCATGTTTCTTGTAGCACTTGTCTTGAGTGTGACCTGTGTACCCACAATATGTACACACAGGTCTCTTGTTGGCGGAGGTTTTCTTGAACCCTGGCTGGTACTGTCCATCTGTCCTTGCCATGAATACACTAGCTGTAGCATTACTCTCTCCTGCCTGATAGAACTGGGTTCCAAAGCCTGTATTGGCCATTTGAAACTGCCTCTCTTGTTGTGCTATCATAGAGTATGCTTCATTAACATCTGGCAGAGGTCTCATAAGCATTATTTGATTCCTAGCTCCTGTGTATTTCTCATGCAAGCCAATCAAAAATACAGACAGTTTGTCTTTCTCAGAGTTCTGATTCATTTCATCAATTTTCCTTCCACATTCACATTTGGTGCTGCAATTACATGTCATTAAAGGTCTGAGGATGGTTAATTCATCCCATAAGAGCTTTTGCCTAGTGAAATACTCATTCAAAGAGTTGTCTCCCTGCTTAGTTTGATAAATTTCACAATTAATTTATGCAATCCTAAACAAGTCTTGTTGGCTAAATCTTCTTTTCAGATCATTATATTCCAAATCCCATAAGCGGTATCAATCCACAACACACTGCATCCAATTGCTGGTGATAAGGTACGCACAATCCAAGTTACAACCATGTTGTTGCACCTTTCCCAGGCAAGATACATTTTTTCCATATTATCTCCACTAGGTTTTGTGATTGTCCCATTAATGAAAGGAACTTTGTTCTTGTAGGATAGAGCCATGGTCATGGCCCTACCCAGGGGTGGTAGTTCGAACCATCTAGAGGCACAGGGACCAGCTCTAGGGCTGGATTCTCATTTATGTGAAGGTAATAGTGGTTCGAATGATTCTGAGGATCGAAATTTACCTCAGTGTTCTGACTCCCTGTGACCTGCGAAGGTGAAGGATTCTGATTTGCTGCCGTAGTCCCAGCATTCTGATTCTCTCCCGGATTTCCAGTATTCTGATTCCCTACCGGATTCCCCATCGGATTTTCTGTTAGAAAGGTGCGATTGCCAATTGCCGGCCATGCCGCCGCCATTGTAGAAGGTCGAAAAAAGAGCTTCTAAACTCTCTGCTCTAATACCATGTCGCGGAGCAAGTTGAAGTTCAGAGATGGCCAAACAGAAAGAAAGATATTTTCTCATTAAGGAAAGCAAAAGGAGAAGGAAGAGTTTTATACATCAGATAAAAGGGGGGAAACTAATCTAACTGCCAATAACAACCAAGGGGTGTAGGATGTTGCCACGTGTAATCATCTTACACATCCTGAAAAGGTTTACATCCCTTTACATTGACAAATTTGAGTTGCACAAAATCATTCTCAAAATACATAAATATAAAAGATACTCAAAGTTCATATCCCTTTGCATTGACACAAATTATAATAGAAATAATGACATATCTATTGTTCCAAGTATTAAATTTGACACAATTAATTGCAATTCAAATTTCTCATGTTCTTCAAGATGATTCCTATTCTCCATTACGAGTATGGGGACGGGAAAATATTTAGAGATCGAGACCCGAAATATTATTATTATTATTATTATTATTATTATTATTATTTACTATTATTGTTACTAGTAATTGTCTCGTGCGATGCACGAATTCTTATTAATTTAACAAATTTATCAATTGAATTTTTGACATCCTCTGAATTAGCAAAGAAAGTAATAATTGTGGAAACAGAAAAACGTACTTGAGTTCTTGAGCTCAGAATTAGTTTGATTAAAAATGTAAGTATAACTATACAATGTAATATTTAATATTTTTAAAAGTTTAATTATGCGAATATTATATTGATTTTAATGTTTTTTGTTACTTTTAATATTATTTGAATTTGAATTTTTTGAAAGGAAATTGAAATTGAAATAACTACTCTAATTATATAACTAACGTATTTAAATAAAATTTGTAAATAAAGTAACAGACGATATTTGTGAAAAATCTCCACAAAAAATTTATTCATTTGAAAAAGATTATTTATGTAAGAACTATATTTATTTTATATCTAATTTCTCCTCTTTTTATATGGGGAGTCAAA